AAAAAGATACATTACACCCTGAAAAGAAAAAAAAAAATCCCCCCAAAGTATAGAAAAACCTTCCGGGGGGGGGGGTGGACTACACAGATAGCTAGAAACAGTAGGAATGCTGACAGAGCTGGTTATTGGGGGAGTAAACACGTAGTTATACACGTCAACATTCAGCCAGTGTGTTCTGAGGTAGAGCCTTAAGGGGGGGGGGAATACTACCTGAGTTTGTAAGTTAATACAATCATTAAAAGAGGTCTAAGACCATGTATTTAGAACCATGACTGGTTATGTGATGACGGAAAAAACGTCCCGCCAGGCTGGCTCCATGCACCCGTAGTGAGCTCAGTTTGTAGAAGCGACGTCATTGAGGTATTTCGCTGGTAAACCCAGCTCCTGATCCTGACCTTGACCTTAGGACCCTCTCCCTAAGGGAAGCAACCACTTCATCGGGGAGGAAAAGACATGGGGACCCGGGCGGGGGCGGGAGGGGGCAGGGAGGTCAGCATAGCATCTCTCCATAATGTGCTTCTCAAGTATTTAATTCACAAGGCTGGGGAGTGGGGTGGACCACAGCATCCACAACCCAAAAACAACCTGTTCAGTATGTCACCTTTGGTTTAGAGAAACAAAGTAACAACCGAGCAGATGAGAACAACAACAACAACAACACACACACACACACACACACACACACACACACGGCCACCAGGTCACTGCGCCCGCAGGACACGGAATGGTGCCGGCTGCAATGTGGTGGTGGCGTGGCGGGGCCGGTGCAGAGGGGCTGCAAATACAATCAACAAGTCAAAACGAAACAAAAACACCGATTCTCACTCCCTTCCCAGGGCAGGGGCTTCCAAATGCTACACCTGTGAAAACTGCTCCTCCACGGGTGTAGTACAAACACAGAGCAAGCATTTTTCTCTTGAAGAAGAGAGAAGAGAGACCTAAAGGTCTTTGATTTCCAACGGAAGTCCTCCTCCGTGAGAACAGTCATTAACCAGTAGTTTCCAAACACTGACCAACGAGGCAGCGCTCGGAGTCGCCCTCTGGTTTTGTGGTGGGGGAGCTGGGGACTTCTGGGTTAACCGGATGTCTAGCAGATTCTGGAGACTTCTCCCGGGAGAAATCTAACCACACGTGCCGACATTTCTTCCAAAGAGGTAGATTCCCAATCCCATTCACTCCTTACTGGATTGATACTAGTCCTTTTTTTTTTTTTCCTTTTTCTCCTTTTCTTTTCTTGAGACCCATCAGATGCTAACGTGAGGTAGGTGGCTTCTGCCCGACAAATGCCGTGCGTGAAGAGGCGAGGGAGCGTCCTGTCCCGGGCGCCCCGCCTGCAGCAAGGAGGTCCTGTGACGTCACCAAGTGGGAATACAAGAGTCCGACTTTTATACAGCCCCAGACTGTTGGAGTATGGTTTTAAATAAATACCCTAAATACTTTTTTTGGCACCATTGGACTTTTTTCTTTTGATAAAGTAGCAGGAAAGAGGGGGCGGCGCGGGGAGGGAAACAAAATGAAGCAAAAACCAAGCGTAAAAACTTTGGCATCCCTTTCCAACTAGCTACCAGAACACAGCATCTTTAAAATCTCCAGGAGAGGAAGACCACACATTGACATGACAGTACTCTTGCTGCTTCAAGCCTTAAAAAAACAAACAAAAAAAGACTTCCCTCATCCGTAAGCTTTGGCTTAACTAGACTAAAAACACTGAGCCGATCTCAAGCCACCTCCTCCCACTCCTCTACAAAGTGCCCGGATTCTGGCAACGCTTTTTGGCCCAACACATTATTTATGGTAGATTCTCATGTCCCACCTCCCCACCCCAAATAAGTTAGACTTAAAAAAAAAAAAAGGGCAATGATTGTGGAGACAGTGCATTTGGGGGGGACAGCCCTAGGGTGGGGATGTGGGGGGTTGGGAGAATCCCTGGGCTCGATCCAGTTTGCCAGCTGCCATACAGCACAGATCCCAAGACGGGACTGTAGCCCCAACTTGTTCGTAGGCATTGGGATTTACGACCTGTTAAGCTGGTTTCCATCAAAGCATCGCTGACTTTCAGCGCTCCAACCTGCATTGCCAAACATCCAGGGCTGTCACACCCCATCCCTGCCCCCTGACTGGAAGACATGGCCACCATTCCCCACCCCCGTGGGCCTTTCTCTCTCTCCCCTAACACAGTTTCAATCCACCAGGCAGGTTGGAGACTCTGCTCCCAGCTCACTTCATGAAGGCAATTGCCTAGAGTCCCAAGCAGCCTCTTCTCTAGGGAGTACCCAACTCTGGCACTTAACCCACCTTGGGCTCTTTGGACTGTTGCACATCTCCAACGTGCTCTGCACCCCTTGTTAAGCGGGGGGCCAAGCGGCAAATCTCTCAGGCCAGCCGGCCAGATGGCCATGTTTTAAAAACAAAAGCTTCCTAACTGTCACCATGTCTCTTGGATGCCGGTCGGGCATTGCTCCAAAAGGTACTGGAGATGTTCCAGCAAAGCAGAGCAAGCGGTAGCGTTGGTCACCTGACTGCTAGCTTCGGGAGCGGACACTACTAGCCCTGAGCCTGCCCGCTGCTCCCTAAGTCCTTTAGAATCCAACTGTGTCAGCTACCAAGGGGGGGGAACCCTGGTGGTGCACCTGAATCCCCAGTATACGATGCTTAGAAGGTCACCTGTGTTAGCTGTGTTGCAGCAAGACAATGTTCCATTCAGAGCTCAGGTGCTCCCCACCCAACGGGGAAGCTGACCTGAGTGAAGATCAGCTGGCAGGTGCAGAAGGCCATGGAAAGAGTACAAAGGAAGTGACCGAGTAAATTCCACGCACCTATCCAAGCTCCCCTTGCGATCTGGGCTTTCTGAGCTCAGTCTGCATCCTGGATCCAGTCCATCTCAGATTTTTCAAGCAGTGAAAAAACTATGTCTTTGGTGTTTTTTAATAGGGCAGTGTGGGGGGCACTTGGGCGGGGGGGGAGGGGCGTCGAGGAGAAAGACCAGCACCAAGTTATGGGGAGGCAAAATCAAAGGCAACTGACTGGGAGCTGGCGGGAAGAAGGGGTGTGTCTGCCAGCCCATTCTACAGCCCGGGCAGCTGGAGGCAGCGCTCTGGCTCCATCCATTTGCTGACTCCAAAAATTCTCCCATTAAGAGCCACAGGAAAAAGAGACAGGGTAGTGTGAGGTGATAAAAAGGCCCAAAAAAGAAGGCAGTGCCAGCAATTGGACAGGCTCGGTCCTGCTGCCCGCGCCATCTCACCTTCTTTGGGGGACACAGGCAGGTGGCGCTATTGGTTCACTTATGTGGCTCATTTAGAGAAAAGTTCAAACTGCTCTGGGGGGGGATGGGGACCAGCCTGTTTCCCTGAAGAGGCGCCTACTGTGAACTCCTGGCACCCCACCGCACCTCCAGCTCCTGAGAATGGTGCATGTGGGGCACACCCTGGTGAGTTCAAAAAAGCAGGGGTAGGGTGGGGTGGGGCTCCCCGCTGCACCTGCTCCCCACCTGACAGACGCACACAGCTGCGTACCCAGCTCCGGCTGGGCCATTGGCACCAGCTCACACTTCTGTATGTGGGAGCCTGGCTTTGCTGTTCATTCTTTGGTACAGGAACAGGCTGCTTCATTTCAGGTCAGGGGTGATTTGGTTTACAAACCATTTACATTCAAAGGCCTTGGGGAGCGGGGGATAGAAGGAGAAAGACACAGACATACAGACATACACACACATTAAGAGCAAGCCCAACCGAGAGGCTGTGGGACTGGGCCAATCCTTTCCGTTCGTTGGACTTTTGCAAGCTTTCTCTTTCCCTAAACTTCCAAAGCAGGAAGAAATTGTGCTTTTTTTTTTTCATATCCAAGTCCATTCCTTGGCTTCTTCTTTTTTATGGACAAATAACTCCTCTCGCTACAGGAGCCAACATTCACTGTGGGGCAGCTGGAGGGCCCCGTTCCTCTGCAGTCCACGTGTGGGGGGATGGGGGAGTGCATCTTCCTTCATCCAGGGTCTCTTGGCTTCCCCTCTGCAGCACAAGCAAGCCCACCCAAGTTCACATGTACATATTCAGTCCATGCCTGGAAACCCTGGGTGGGGGGTCGGGGGGAAAGCTGCTCTCCACCCGACCCCTCCTTCTCAAGACAAGAACACTCTACACCAAAGAGCGAGTCCCGTCTACCCGTCAGAAAGATTCCCTGGGTGGCGGGGTGCCCCCTTTTGGGCTCCTGGTAACGGGTGTGCCCGGCACCAACCTTCTCTCCCGCACACGACCCCAACTTCCCGTCCCTGAAGACAAAGACCATCTAACCTAAAACTTGCCGCTAGCCAGCCGCAGCCACGGCCACGGCCACATCTCCTGGGAACGAGGGGAGATGCTGACTGAGGTAGATGAGCCGAACTGAGCAGCGTTTCTGCTGCAGCATTTTTTGTTTGTTTTAAAACGGATTTTCCCAGCAAGTTCAAAAACCACACTAAGCAACCTAACCCCACAGAAACATATAGCATTCGAGAACATACTCTTATCATGACGCAGTTTAAAATCCTGGTTTCTTCCAGTTTTACGGGTTTTTTTTTTTCCCTTAAACTTAGTAGTTTTCTTGCATTTCCTTGGCTCAATCTATACAGAACAGAATGCACCCCATCACACTGCCCTCCTGGCCCAGCGACCACTGGGTTGGTGCACGCTGAGCCCCTTGGCAGGGAGAGGAGGCCCCGACTGGGAAGGAAAGGCAAAGATGCATGAGGTAGACAGGAAAGTTATCACTTCATAGGCTCAGGCTCCATCCCTGCAGAAAGGACACGTACATTCATCTGCAGAAACGCGGGGTGAGGTAGGACTCCAGCAAATGTCGTACTTTTCTCATTCTCTTTAAAACGAAGAGAAGAAAAAAAGAGAAAATTTCCCTGAGACAGTTTCCTCTTTGAAATTCAAAAGCAGGCAGCCAGAGAGAGAGAGAGAGAGAGAGAGAGAGAGAGAGAGAGAGAGAGAGAGAGAGAGAGAGAGGAGAGGACAGACATGCGTGCGCACACCCATGGAACCCAAGAGGCTGAAATTAGTAGACGAGGATTCGATTGTTGCCGAAATCCACCACAACGATCATGCCATCGGGGGTGACGGCGATGCCAGACGGCCGGTCCATCTGCCCGAAGCCGCTGCCCTGGGAGCCAAACTTGCACAGGAAGCTGCCGTTGGATTCGAACATCTGAACTCGGTGGTTTCGGGAATCGGCCACGAGGATGCGCCCCTCCTGATCCACAGCCACGCCCTGCGGACGCAGGAACTGCCCGTTGCTGGTACCCTCAGAGCCCAGGAAGCGTGCCGACTGGCAGTCGGGGTGGATGACCAGCAGCCGGTGGTTGTTGAAATCGGTGACCACCAAGTGGCCCTCGTGGTTGAAGGCCACACCACGTGGGGAATCGAAGTGCTTCCAGAGGGCGCCCTCGAAGCCATACTTATTCAGGAAGACACCGTCGGGCCCGAACAGCTGGACGCGGTGGTTACGGGTATCCGAGACCAGGATCTTGCCCTCGGAATTCACGGCCACATCCCAAGGGTAGTTGAACTGCCCGTTCTTGGTGCCCTTCTCGCCAAACTTGAGGAGGAACTGGCCCTCAAAGGTGAAGATCTGGATGCGATGATTGTCCTTGTCAGCCACCACAATGCGGCGGGAGGCGTCACAGGCCACGCCGGCTGGCCGGTCAAACTGCCCGGGCCGGGAGCCCAGGGTGCCAAACTTGTGGTGGAAGGAACCACAGGGCTTGAACACTTGGATGCGGTTGTTGCTGCGGTCGGCGACAACAATGTAGCCCTCCTTGTCGACGGTCACGCCCCAGGGGCGGCACAGCTTGCCATCACCGTCGCCCTCGCTGCCGAAGCTCAAGCCTGGCAGCCCGATGCCCACGTAGCTGCGGCCCGACTTCACCACCACCTTGAAGGGGCTGTTCTCAATGTGCTGGTTGCACATGGTCACCGACACCAGATGCTCGCCCTCCAGCTGGGGCCGGTAGCTCACCACGTACGTTCCGTTCTGCTGGTCGATCACTTCGGCACCAAACAGGTTGCCATCGGGGCCCAGGACCACGGCCGACATGAGGTCTCCCCCGGAGATGCGAGGCTCGCCGTCGTGGTCGTAGCCGATGACGGTGAAGGAGGCCACCTTACCCTGGAGGGCCCGCTTGAGACCCTCACCCGTGGCCTTGGTGAGTGGGGCAAAGGCCCCGCTGCTGACAAAACCAAAGGACTTGATGGCCAGGTACAGAGCCTGGTCGGGGGGCGTGAACATGACTCGGTCATCTTCCTGCGGCTGCAGGAGGCCCCGCACGGTTTTCAGCTCCTGTACCTGGGCCAGCATGCGGTCTCGGGCCACCAGGATGTCGAGCGCCCGGCCCTCCTCCAGTACCTGCTGCACGGCGCTGATGGTGTTCTCCAGTTTGTTGAGGTGCTGCCGCAGCTTATCCACCTGCAGGTACAGGGACTTGGCCTTCACCTGGCGGATCTTCTCCACCTGCCAAAGGGGAGGAGAGAAAGTTGGGCGCTTTGAACCAAGCACACCACAGGGAAACCCACACCGACAGTTTCCATGCCGCGGTGGAGCGCCGGGCTTCAAGTCCAGGCCCTGCTACGGTGGATGGCGCGGCACCCCTGCCAGCCACTCAGCAGGGAGCCAGGACCGAGTCCTCCATCCCCAGCTTTAGTCTGACAGCCCGGGCTCTTGCTGGGATTGGAGGGAGGACCGTGAAGATGAAAGATTGTGCTCTTCCAAATAAATGAACAACTGAAAATAACATGAGACATGACAAGGTCAATGCAGTGACCTTGGGTGAGAGGGAGGAGGGGAGAATTCCATTGAGACTAAGGATCAAAACCCTTGGGTGTGGGGGGCAAGCACGGTGGTGCAGCTTTCAGCAGGTGAAATCGTTGGGTTCCACTGCAACACCAGTAACCCCTAACAGGGAGCTGGTTCCAGCCCCAGCCGCTCTGCTTTCCATCCGGCTTCTTCCTAAGGAGCCTGGCCAATTAATCAACAGATGGTGGGGCAAGTACCTGAGCCACTGACACCCACGCAGGGGGGCCAGGATGCAATTCTAGGAGTTCCTGCCTTTGGCCTGGCCTGCCCTTGGCCGCTGTGGGCATTTCGGGGAGTGAACTAGCCAGTGCACAGAGATCTCTCCGTCTCCCCACACCTGTTGTTCTGTCTCAAATACATCAGTAGTTGAAACCCTTACAATGTGCTAGGTAATACCAATGATCATAAATTTAGTACAGGAAGAACGTGGGTTGATTCTGTGCAAATATTGGGGTGTTTTACAAGGGACTTGACCATGCATGGATTTTGGCAATTTCTGGGGGTCCCAGAACCAATCCTCCACAGGTAAAGAGGGATGGCAGGTTTTCCAAGTGGCAACAATCAGGCAGAAGAGCAGGTTGCAAAATGGAAACAAAGCCAATGGCTCCGCATTTCAGGAAGCACAGGGTGGTGGCAGTGTGGACTGACTCAAGTCACTCAACAGTGAGACCACCCGGGTGAGGGATGATGGAGGCTTGGGCAACAGGTGGATGTCACAGTTGGAAAGCAAATTGCCCCCACCTGCAGGACATTTCTCCAGACTGGACCTCAAGGCCAGTTTGGCCCGCAAAGACAGTGGGGCTGCGCGGGGAGCCGTGAACGGACACGTTCTAAAATCTGCATCCCCAGAGCCTTTCTCCCACCGGCTGGCACCCGAGGAGCCCCGAGGTGGGCACAGCAGACTACTACTGCAAAGACTGTCATGAGCGTGACCTTGAAATCTACCTTGCCTAAGCCATTCCTGCCTCAGAGGTCCTCAGGCCACAGGGGAAACCGACTCCCCCATGCTTTTTCATTCTAGCAACTAAACAAAGTTGAACAACTCTAAGCCATCTCGGGGTGGTAGTCGGGGGGTAGCATGCAGCTGCTCCCTCCACTGTCCCCACTGTCCCCATTGTCACCCAAGGGACCCTGCTGCAGTGTGTCCTGCAGTGACCTGACCACCACCGCAAGTCTACTTGAGAGCAGAGGCTCACACTGTTGCGAGGCTGGGGCTTTTAAGCTGCTCTCCCGTGGTGGCAACAGGGGTGTGGCTTTGACCAGTTCCCCACTGTTGCACCACTCACTCTGGCACCAGGACATGCGCACAATGAGGTCCAGGGAGGGTACTGAAGACAAATACTTTGCCTTTCTCAGGAGCCTTGAGCTGGCCCTCTGTGGCTTACTCCCTTCAGGTAGCCATTAAAACATTGGAACTGGGCCCAGCGTGGCAGCCTAGTGGCTAAAGCCCTGCATACCTGGGAAACCATATGGGTGCCAGTTCATGTTCTAACTGCTCCACTTCCCATCTAGCTCCCTGCTTGTGGCCTGGGGAAGCAGCAGAGGGTGGCAGGCAGCCTTGGGACCCTGCACCTGTGCGGGAGACCCAGAAGAAGATCTTGGCTCCTGGTTCCTGGCTTTAGAGCAGCTCGGCTCTGACTGTTGCGGCCACTTGAGGAATGAACCCATGGACGGAGGATATTTCTTTTGCTATATCTCCTTCTTTCTGTAAATCAGACTTTCCAATAAAAAATAAGTAACTTTAAAAAAAAATACCTTGGAACCCAACATAGCTGAACATCCTTAACTCGGGGTGGTCATGGGGCATAAGAAACTAAAACATGAACACAGAGAGACAGCAACTGGCTGGAGGGTTTTGCAGGGCAAGGAACAGGGCAAAGGCAGCCTGGTAGCTCAACAGACTAATCCTCTACCTCGTGGCGCTGCATCTCATATGGGCACTGGTTCTAGTGCCAACTGCTCTACTTTGAAAGGCAGCTATGCTCACCACTATACCAGCAATGCAACTGCTCTACTTTCAGTGTAGCTCTCGGCTTACAGTCTGACAAGGCCCAGAAGAGGGCCCAAGCACTTGAACTCCTGGCTCGGCCGCTGCACTTGGGGAGTAAACCAATGGATGGAAGAGCACTCTCTCTCTGTAAATCTGCCACATGTGCACAGGACTTTGAGGCAGGGTTCCTGGAGATGGGGTGTATCCGCAGGGAACAAGCTTATTTTGGGGTTCCCAGGCCAATGCAGGCAGTTAATTATACCAAGACTGACCCTTCCTTTTCCTGCAAACACATTTCACCTGGAATAGAATGGGATTTTCCTTTTTGCACCCTGCCGCCAAGAAGTGCTTTAGTAGCAGAGGGGACAGTCCCACGGGAGAGTGAAGCCCCACGCACCCAATGGCTTTCTTCCTTGGGAAATGCAGAGGGATGAGCCCAGGGTGGCAGAGTTGAGGAGGCAGTTCTCACTCATAATGAGCGGCATGGGTGGCAGAGGATGGCATGTTGAGCTGCATGGAGGCCGACCCCATCGCCTCCCCCAAGAGGGCAAGGGGAAGCAGAGGTGGGCTGTGGGTTGAAGGGAAACGTGGACCAGTGGTGCCAGGCACCTTGCGGAATGGGATGCCTGAAAAGGTCACCTGAAGGTGACAGGGTGGTCATCCTGCCACCACCCATGCAGCAAGGAAGGAGACGGCAGAGAAGACGGAATGGGGTCTGGGCCTGGGTGGGCAGGAGGCGGCTCCCCTTCCTCCTGCAGCAGACAGGAGCGCCATGAAAGGAGAAGCCAGCTGCAGACTAGCGAGTGAGGGGGGCACAGCGCAGGCCTCTGCGGCCAGATCTTTATCTCAGTAGCACACCCGTGTGCTGGGCCAGCTCCCCTTCCTGCCCCGACAGGAAGAAAGGGCACGAACTCGCTGCCCTTTCCGGGGGAAAGAGCTGCCCACAGGGCTCAGGAAGTGCAACTAGCTAGGATGCCAAAAATAAGACTCTTCCTACCAGCCGGCCTGGCCGCCTTTGCTGGAACAACAGCCCCGATTATGCGCTCCTCTTCCGGGTGTCTGGGAGAACCCTGCCTGGTTCGTTTTCGGAAAGGCTTTGTGCCACTCTAACTATACTTTGGCATCCAGTTGCCGGGTGCCCTCCCCCCCACACGGCCACTCCAATTTTGCAGCAGAGTCCTTCATGCAGTGCTTGCAGCCAGCAAGCAGGAGCAAGGCCAGAAAGTGGGGGCTGGCTGGCCAGGGGCACACTTGGGGCCTCTTACCTTCCACAGCAGCTCACACTCGCGTTCCTCCAGGGCCTTCTTGTGCCTCGCAGCCACAGCCTTGACCTCAGTCTGTACCACCTTTGCCTTCATCTCCACCTGTTCTGCCACTGTCTGCGCCTGCTCGATGCTCAGCTGCAAAACCCAAAACTACCTTGAGGATTTGAAAAAAGACAAGAACCCTCACGTTTGCTGCTACCAGATCTAAAAAGCTAACAGCCTGGGTAGGTGCCCAGACCACCAGACCCACTCCCTGCCTTCAGATAGCAGGACCAGATAGCATCTCATCTGACATGGAACTGGGGGGACTAGTTCCTTTCAAGAGCTGGGTTCCTTCGGATGCGAAGTGGTACTCCACACTCAATGTCAAGATCAGGAAGAGATGCTGACACAGGAAGCCAGTGTAGCTGGATGACAGTCAAACCCCTGGAAGGAGCATCGGGTGCAAAGTGTCACTGCCCCAGGCACAGCAGCCACCTGCCTATACTTCCTGGCTTGACTCCTTCCCTTGCAGGCCAGTTATGCTGTAATTCTCATGGGAAGGTGCACAGCAGGCTCGGGGCTCATCTGTCACATTCTTGTTCTATCACTAGGAACACGGCTCATCTCAGGCAGAACCAATCCCAAGTGCATGCTGGGAGAATCCCTGACACAACACAGGTACTGTGGACAGAAGGCAGATGCTGCATGCCAGAGACCATTCACACTCTACCACGCACTGTCCCTGTACCACCAGTCTCAGCAAACGCTGCCAGTTCAATCAGATGTGACTGCTCATAAAAAATTAACCCAGACAGAAGGAGGCCTGGTATCTTCATTAATATTACATGATATGTCTTGAAAAGCCACCAGGATTTAAGATACAGAGATATTAAATCAAGGGTTCCAAAGTGCCTGCTGATGATGCAACATACTTTCAAAAATTTATTTGAGGGGTCGGTGCAATGGCTCAACTGGTTAATAATCCACCTCCAAGCACTGGCATCCCGTACGGACACAGGTTCAGGTCCCGGCTGCTTCACTTCTGATTCAGCTCGCTGTTTGTGGTCTGGGAAAGCAGTGGAGGATGATCCAATGCCTTGGGACCCTGCTCTCACATGGGAGACGTGGAAGAGGCTCCTAACTTCGGGTTGGCTCAGCTCCAGTCACTGCGCCGTTTGTGGAGTGACCCAGGGTCAGGAAATCAGCTCTCCACGTTGAGGTCCCCAGTAATGGAAGCGATCCCTACCAGTTCCCAAAGATTCCCCCATACCTCTCGGGGAACTCAAAGTGATGGGGAAGCATCCAGGACTTGAACCTTACGTTCCTTAAGTTTCTCCACTGGTCACTCATCTATACAAGCAGAAGATTCTCAAGCAATAAAGTATTACATATTGGTCCTGACTAGAAAATGCCAGTGTCCGCTTGAACTGGGGAGAGAGGTGGAGAGGATGTTTAAAGGCGTCATGGGGCCCGGGCCAGGTGTTTGGGCACCCGACTAGTCGCGTTAGTCACTTTCCTGTCATCCTTCTGAGGCTACAGGGGACCTGAGCTATACCAGTGTTCCTCATGTCATTAGTACACAGCCCTGCCCAGCTGAGTCTGCCCAAGGACAGCCACTCAAGGCAGACAGGGGAGCTTCCCGGAGGGCTGAAGGACAGGATGGGCAGGACTTACCTGGATCGCCTGACGTCCCTGCTGCGCGTCAGCCAGCAGCTGGATGGTGAGCGCCCTCGAGTCCTGCACCACGTCCTGGAGGTAGAGGAAGTTGTGGCCCCCATGCCGGCCCAGCGTGCACTCCCGACAGATGGGCACGGAGCAGGTGTCACAGTACAGGTGCAGCACCTGGCGATCAGAGAAGACACAGAGACACGGGTGAGAGGTATGTGGGGGGCGAGGCTTGCAGCAGCCTGGATCCCAGCCCCTTTCCAGCATGGATAACAACACACCCAGCAGGTTGCATCCATCCACTTACTCTTCCTCCCTCACTCGGCTGCCAATCACAGTGGGGTAAGAAGGAGAACCAATGGGCACATCCTGTTCTGGTCAGTGATCCCACCATCTTCCTGGTGTAGGATTGCCCTGTATTTCAAAGCGCTAGGTTGACGATACCTGGTCGGAGATCTGGACCCAAGGACAGAAACACCAGCAGCCACTCGGTTGAGAGCCAGCTGAAACTTCTTCTGCTTTTGGCTTGCTGCTATGCCAAGCTATCACCATCACCGAATGCTGGGAGGCAGTAGGGACGCCAGGACTACTTCTTGTGATGGCACATACTTGCCAGGTGGGGGAAGCAGAGAGCAGGCACGCAGAGAGAGGAGGGCACTGTTGGAGGTCTGCTCAAGGCGTTCTGGGCAGTACAGGACCCAGGGAGTGCTGGCAGGGCAGCTGGGGCAGGGAGGCCTGGAGGCTGGCCCAAGAAGGATCGGGAAGGGGCTTGCTGGGTGGGGCAGTGTAAACTGACCAAAAGCATTCTCAACATCAAGCGCTTGCTTGGCCCAGCCAAGTTGAGAGGCACTGAGCTCTCAGCCAAGCTGGGACCCCATGCATGCTCTCCTGCCTCTCTAGAAAAATAATCTGCCTCAGAAATAGGAAGAAGGAATGCTATGAAAAATCTTGATACGTGACAGATAATCTCTCATTCGCAGGTTCCCTCCCCAGACAGCCTCAACGGTCATAGCTGAACCGATCCAAAGGCAGAAGCCAGAAGCCACTTCCTGTTTTCCCACGTGGGTGCAGGGGCCCAAACACTTGGGCCATCCGCTACTGCTTTCCCAGGCTCATTACCAGGAGCTGGAGCGCAAATGGAGTAGCCAGGATGTGAACTGGCGTCAGTATGGATGCTTGGCCATTACAGGCAGCAACTTGACCCGCCACACCACAGTGCAGGCCTGGGGGAGTTGTTTTGCCTTTGGACAAAACAGGCTCTCATGCAGCAGGTCTTAGAGCCTCTTATACAAGGGAACTGGAGCAGGTTTGCAACTTACTGGTCACAGTAACACCAGAGGTGGTACCCTACAACCAGGTACTGGTGACACAGCTAAAAGGCTAAACACACACACACACACACACACACAGAATTTATTTGCAAGCAGAGCTATTAGGTCACCCTCCTAGGCCACGGCAGTCAGGCAGGGCAGGGACAGTTAGTTCAAAACCAGGAGCTAGGAACTACATCTGGATCTTCATTTTGGCTGACAGAGGAAGAGGGGGCCCCACTCACTGTACACAATGCTCACCCTACCCCATCAAATTCTAAAGTAGTTCTATTATGGGTAAGGGGCTGGTGCTGGAGCGCAGTAGCTTAAGAACCTCCACTGGTGGGCCCTGTGCGGTAGCCTCCTAGTGGCCCACCTTGCATGTACCAGGATCCCATATAGGCGCTGGTTTGTATCCTGACTCCCTGACTGCTCTGCTTTCCATCCAGCTCCCTGCTTGTGACCTGGGAAAGCAGTCGAGGACGGCCCAAAGCACCCACATGGCAGACTTGGAAGAATCTCCTGGCTTCAGATCAGCTCAGCTCTGGCTATTGTGGCCACTTGGGGAATAGACCAGCAGACAGCAGATCTTCCTCTCTGTCTCCCCTTCTCTCTGCAAAACCTGCCTTTCCAATAAAATAATGTGATTAAAAAAAAAAAAGAACCTACAACGGCTGCGCTAGCATCCCACATGGCCCTATTCCACTTCAGATCCAGCTCCTTGCTCCTGCGCCTGGGAAAGCAACAGCACATGGACCAATAAACTTCAGCCCTTGACCCATGAGGGAGACCCTGAAGGTGGTCCTGGCTCCTGGCTTCAGGCTGTTGTGTCCACTTGGGTAGCAAACCAACAGGTGATGGAAGATCTCTTGTCTCGATCTATAAATCTGCCTTTCTGATGAAAATAAATTTTCAATTATAAACAAGCAACGGTGGGTACAGGAACAGCCTTGGTATGCCGGTAATTTATATACTATAACAAGACCCCCACCTCGAAAACACACATTGAGATAAAACTTGTATTATTAGATCTAGGTCACAGCTGGAGTACAACGTGGGGAAGACCTCACACTCCCCCTAGAAGCTTCACGGCCCACCCACCTAGTGTCTCATTTTGAAATCCAGGAGTTTTCGATCAGCTGAAACACGAGTGGTGGGGTAGCGGCGTGCCACCAAGTACCTCACCTTGCGACAACAAGAGAGGACAGTAAAGGGGCAAAGTGGGGCCTGTGCTGAGGCCCGGGCCTCCGCCTGCCCGGCAATGTGGCACTGGCTCTGAAGGGCAGCCCCAGGGTGTGGAGGGAGACATCTGGAAGCAAGCCTGCCTGGAGCTCTCCCAAGCAGATGCGTGGACACGCCCCCCTCAGGCCTTAGTGAAAATCCGGCTGGCCCAGCTCAATGGACAAGGCTTGACCTCTGACCCCACAAGTGACCACCCTCCTCCCTGCCCCCAGCTTCCAGAAGGTCCCACCCACTGCCTTCCTCTCCCAAAAATTTCTAAAATACCAGGCCGAGACAAAGACAGAGGAATGTGAGCCAGCAGGAAGGGGTGGGGGTGGGTGGGGGGTGCGGACAGAGGTGGTTGTTAAAAGGAAAAATAAATAAAAATTTGAACATGGGGAGGTTTATCATGTGCCCATGCCAGAAATGGGAGTTTGTAGAGTACATGTTTGTCCCAGGACACACACACACACAGAGCGGGCTTAAAGTACACCCTCGGCTGCCTGCAAATATTCAATGGGTATAAATGAAGGAGAGAGGGTGGGGGTGGTGGTCCCCGACACTACAGGAGGAAGTGCTGGGTGGCACCAGAGAGGAGCCATTCCAGAAGTGACCTGGGAGTGCTGTGTGTGCCAGCTCTCATCCAGGACCACAGGACACCGTTGTCAGCTGGTAAACCAAGGTGAAGGTGGCGTGGAAACAAAGTCTGCTTCAAAAACACCAAAACGGAAGTCCAGGGCTCCTGCCTCTCTAGCCTCCAAGGCCTGGCTGCAAGACAACAGAACCCAGCAGAGGGCAGATGGTCCACAGACAGAACCGCTGCAACGCACCTGCCAACCTGCAGAATCCACAGCATTCGCTCAAACACAAACAGCTGTGTACCCTCCCATTGCTCCTCCAACCCCGAGTCTGGGCCTCTACTGCAATGATCCAAACAGAGGCTGTTCTGAATCCCTCTGGACAAAGCAGCCTGGTTCTCCCAGTGGCTGCTTGGCTCCAGGTGGCATCCATGCCTCCAACTGTTCCAAGCAGCCACCTGTTGGTGGAACTTTCAAGACAGTGTGCCGATTTGACAAAATAACAGGCAATAGCACCACAGGCAATGCCAACAGTGGCTACCCATAGTCTTTCCACAAGCCCACATTTCAGCCATCATCTTGCACTCCATATTCCAATACTCATTCCACCTCTTGCCAGAGCCACTAAGGGGAGTTAACAGCAAGTCAACAGAAGAGCCGTCCAAGGGCTGTTGGTTGGTATTTTCAGGCTTCAACAATGAGAACACCCCAGGGATTGGCACTGCAATAGGGCAGGTTCAGCCACCTTCGATATCAGCAATAGCATGGGGGCACCAGGTTTGAGCCCCTACTTACTCCATTTGCAGTACGGCTAAGGCATTTGCTAATGCATACTCCTGCTGAGTCAGGGAGCTGCAGCCTGCTATACGTGGGGAGGGATGGGGATGGGGGAACACCTTCAAGGGCAGCGGGAGGCAGAGAAATGGCCTGGGGCTCTGACCAGAGGACCAGTGTCTCGAAGGCAATGCTTGCCGCATGCAGTCTGTGGGGTCACACACGGATGTGGCAGCTTGGAACCGGGACAGGAACACGCTGGGCCTGTGTTGACTCCACTTACTTTACCCAGAATACCCCGGGGTCTGAGTGGACAGGTCGCCCAGGCCCAGAGCCCGAGCTGCACTGGGGGTGCTGTGGGGGTGAGAGGTGCAGAACCTTGTCAGGCTGGCGAACTCAGAACAGTCTGCAGAAAGTGGATCAAACTGTGGTGACAGAAATTTAAATCCGTGCCCAGTTTACTCACTCGCATATGCCTGCATGCCATCGGGGAAATCAGAGAACAAGACACACTCATCTTCAGGTCCCATTTCCCAATGAACATGGTTTTATTCTTTTTTTAATGTTTTTATTCATTTATTTTTATGAACATGGTTTTAAAGAATACAGGAATAGCCTCCAGCCTCAGTTTCTGGGAAACACCCCTGTGGCAGCTCCCTGAATGCCTGACTGGGTGCTGGCCATCTTGGCACAGCCCATGGTGAAGGTTCACACGTGGGGGCTTCTTCTTTTAAATGTTTATTTGTATTTATCTTTATTTGAAAAACAAGAGGTTGGTAGCGGAGAGAAGGGAGATGCCCCCACAGCAGTCAGGGCTAGGTGGCCAAAGCCAACATTAGCTGCACCCTGGGGTACATCAAGCAGGAAGCTGGGTTGGTAGGGAAAGAGCCAGGGCTGTCCCCACCACCGGTGCATCAAATGCCCGCTTCCAAAGGGCACCTTTGTCATGGTATCCGGTCCCACATCTGTGCTGCGGGTGGCTCTGTGTGATGTGGCAGTCACAGGGGAACGCCGTCTTCCAAGCATATCAACAATAAATTAGTTGACTTATACAAAACGAGGGTTCACCAAACTCTGGGGTCCCCTGCTGCCTCCGCTTCAGACTCATTTTGCATATCAACATTGCTGGAGAGCAAACCAGCAAATGGAAAATATCTGCTCTCTCCCTCTCTCTCCTTCTTTAACTCTCCTCTTCAAATAAACAAATAACAAAATTTCTCAGAACAATATCAGTCCTCCCTACCCCCATTAGGGATAGCAGGTTAATCCTCAGCCTGAGGCAACAGCATCCCAC